GGAACTGGATTGGAACTGGATTGGAACTGGGTTGGAACTGGATTGGAACTGGGTTGGAACTGGATTGGAACTGGGTTGGAACTGGGTTGGAACTGGATTGGATTGGAACTGGGTTGGAACTGGGTTGGAACTGGGTTGGAACTGGATTGGAACTGGGTTGGAACTGGGTTGGAACTGGGTTGGAACTGGATTGGATTGGAACTGGGTTGGAACTGGATTGGAACTGGGTTGGAACTGGGTTGGATTGGAACTGGGTTGGAACTGGGTTGGAACTGGATTGGATTGGAACTGGGTTGGAACTGGGTTGGAACTGGATTGGAACTGGATTGGAACTGGGTTGGAACTGGGTTGGAACTGGGTTGGAACTGGATTGGATTGGAACTGGGTTGGAACTGGATTGGAACTGGATTGGAACTGGGTTGGAACTGGGTTGGAACTGGATTGGATTGGAACTGGGTTGGAACTGGGTTGGATTGGAACTGGGTTGGAACTGGGTTGGAACTGGATTGGAACTGGGTTGGAACTGGGTCGGGTTGGAACTGGGTTGGAACTGGATTGGATTGGAACTGGGTTGGAACTGGATTGGAACTGGGTTGGAACTGGATTGGATTGGAACTGGGTTGGAACTGGGTTGGAACTGGGTTGGAACTGGATTGGAACTGGATTGGATTGGAACTGGGTTGGAACTGGATTGGAACTGGGTTGGAACTGGGTTGGAACTGGATTGGATTGGAACTGGGTTGGAACTGGGTTGGATTGGAACTGGGTTGGAACTGGGTTGGAACTGGATTGGAACTGGGTTGGAACTGGGTTGGAACTGGATTGGATTGGAACTGGGTTGGAACTGGATTGGAACTGGGTTGGAACTGGATTGGATTGGAACTGGGTTGGAACTGGGTTGGAACTGGGTTGGAACTGGATTGGAACTGGGTTGGAACTGGGTTGGAACTGGGTTGGAACTGGATTGGATTGGAACTGGGTTGGAACTGGATTGGAACTGGGTTGGAACTGGGTTGGAACTGGATTGGATTGGAACTGGGTTGGAACTGGGTTGGAACTGGGTTGGATTGGAACTGGGTTGGAACTGGGTTGGAACTGGATTGGAACTGGGTTGGAACTGGGTCGGGTTGGGACTGGGTTGGAACTGGGTTGGAACTGGATTGGACCTGGGTTGGAACTGGATTGGAACTGGTTTGGAACTGGGTTGGATTGGAACTGGGTTGGAACTGGATTGGATTGGAACTGGGTTGGAACTGGGTTGGAACTGGGTTGGAACTGAGTCGGGTTGGGACTGGGTTAGGACTGGGTTGGAACTGGGTTGGAACTGGATTGGAACTGGGTTGGAACTGGGTTGGAACTGGATTGGAACTGGGTTGGAACTGGTTTGGAACTGGGTTGGATTGGAACTGGGTTGGAACTGGATTGGAACTGGGTTGGAACTGGGTCGGGTTGGGACTGGGTTGGAACTGGGTTGGAACTGGGTTGGAACTGGGTCGGGTTGGGACTGGGTTGGAACTGGGTTGGAACTGGGTCGGGTTGGGACTGGAATGGAACTGGGTTGGAACTGGATTGGTTTGGAACTGGGTTGGAACTGGGTTGGAACTGGGTTGGAACTGGATTGGATTGGAACTGGGTTGGAACTGGATTGGATTGGAACTGGGTTGGAACTGGGTTGGAACTGGATTGGTTTGGAACTGGGTTGGAACTGGGTTGGAACTGGGTTGGAACTGGATTGGATTGGAACTGGGTTGGAACTGGATTGGATTGGAACTGGGTTGGATTGGAACTGGGTTGGAACTGGATTGGATTGGAACTGGGTTGGAACTGGGTTGGGACTGGGTTGGAACTGGGTTGGAACTGGGTTGGGACTGGATTGGGTTGGAACTGGGTTGGAACTGGGTTGGAACTGGGTTGGGACTGGAATGGAACTGGGTTGGGACTGGGTCAGGTTGGGACTGGATTGGAACTGGGTTGGGACTGGGTTGGAACTGGGTTGGGACTGGGTTGGGACTGGGTTGGAACTGGGTTGGGACTGGGTCGGGTTGGGACTGGGTTGGGACTGGGTCGGGTTGGGACTGGATTGGAATTGGGTTGGGACTGGGTCGGGTTGGGACTGGGTTGGGACTGGGTTGGGTTGGGACTGGGTCGGGTTGGGGCTGGGTTGGAACTGGGTTGGGACTGGGTTGGAACTGGGTTGGAACTGGGTTGGAACTGGGTCGGGTTGGGACTGGGTTGGAACTGGGTTGGAACTGGGTTGGATTGGAACTGGGTTGGAACTGGGTTGGATTGGAACTGGGTTGGAACTGGATTGGAACTGGGTTGGAACTGGATTGGAACTGGGTTGGAACTGGATTGGAACTGGGTTGGATTGGAACTGGGTTGGAACTGGATTGGAACTGGGTTGGAACTGGATTGGAACTGGGTTGGAACTGGTTTGGAACTGGGTTGGATTGGAACTGGGTTGGAACTGGATTGGATTGGAACTGGGTTGGATTGGAACTGGGTTGGAACTGGATTGGAACTGGGTTGGAACTGGGTCGGGTTGGGACTGGGTTGGAACTGGGTTGGAACTGGATTGGAACTGGGTTGGATTGGAACTGGGTTGGAACTGGGTTGGAACTGGATTGGAACTGGGTCGGGTTGGGACTGGGTTGGAACTGGATTGGAACTGGGTTGGAACTGGATTGGAACTGGGTTGGATTGGAACTGGATTGGAACTGGGTTGGAACTGGATTGGAACTGGGTTGGATTGGAACTGGGTTGGAACTGGGTCGGGTTGGGACTGGGTTGGAACTGGGTTGGAACTGGATTGGAACTGGGTTGGAACTGGAACTGGGTTGGAACTGGATTGGATTGGAACTGGGTTGGAACTGGGTTGGATTGGAACTGGGTTGGAACTGGATTGGAACTGGGTTGGAACTGGGTTGGGTTGGGACTGGGTTGGAACTGGGTTGGAACTGGGTTGGAACTGGATTGGAACTGGGTTGGATTGGAACTGGGTTGGAACTGGGTTGGAACTGGATTGGAACTGGTTGGAACTGGGTTGGAACTGGATTGGATTGGAACTGGGTTGGAACTGGGTTGGATTGGAACTGGGTTGGAACTGGATTGGAACTGGGTTGGAACTGGGTTGGGTTGGGACTGGGTCGGGTTGGAACTGGGTTGGGTTGGAACTGGGTTGGAACTGGGTTGGGACTGGATTGGAACTGGGTCGGGTTGGGACTGGGAGCAGAAGCATCGTCTGGTACCGCTGCAGAAACAGCTGCATGTCATGACTGATGGGGAACCAGGAAGTGGAAGTGTTTGCTGAACTCTGGATCCCAGCAGATCAGACAGAACTAGAGCAGACTCCAGGGCTTTAAATAGGCCAGAAGCTCATATATCATGTCAGTGGCACTAATGGGCTTCCGTACGGGTCAGGAGGGCTCCATAGTGATTTCAGCGCCACAGAGTGGGCCGCCGGTTCAGGTGAAGTGAGCCGGTGTGCAGGCAGACCCCTGGGTCATTAGGGTAGAATAAGGGGGGCTTTTTGCTGCTTTCTGCCACATCGGCTCCTCTGTCCAACGCGCCGCAGACACATTTATTTTTACCATATTTAAACCAACACATAACAAAAATAAATCAATGAGCAACATGGAGTCTGAGAGCGCAGAGAGAGAGAGAGAGAGAGCGCACCCTGCCTGCCCCGTTTGCCCCGGGCGAGGGACGGACGGGTCAATATTTACCCAGCTAATTCTGACAGTTAGTCTCCATAGCAGAGAAATAGCAGCGGCTAAACGCCACAGCCGCATCACTTCCTGCTGCTGCTCACATCCTGAGGAGAGGCTGATGACATCACTTCCTGTGTGACACCTCAGAGATGCTGCAGGATTTCTGGGTCGATCCCAGGAAGGAACCGAACTGCAGATTAAATATTGGGATTAGAAATGTAAAATCAATCGGAGTTAAAGATCATAAAAGCAAAGTTTGAAAAAGTTTCATCATTAAAACCTGAACAAAATGTAGCTCCAGATTTTGGTGGCAAATTTTCTTTTGACTCGATTAAGCCCTAAAGGTTCTGAAGGTTCTGGATCCTTTTTGTCGCTGATCCGGACTCGGTTTCTCTCTAGAACCTTCCTCTGCTCCGCTCGGATCTGTCCGACGCTCCGGGATTCAACGCCGACCTGCAGCGGCTCTACGCCGCCGTCACCGCACCGCACAAACGCAGACGACCTCAGGAGACCTACAGCGACCGGACAGAACCACCTGAACCAGAACCACATAGTACAGGTGAGTCTGAACCAGAACGGGCCGAGCAGCAGACATCAGGCTCATGGATGCAAACAATCTGCATTCAACCAATGACGGCGTCTTTAATTTAACACTTTTTCTCTGCCTGCCAGCGATTGGACCTGATGGAGGCGACCCACAGAACCAGAACCCCAGCGGCCCGGTTGGATCCGGCGCAGCGGCGCAGGTCAGGGTACGTCTGGTGAACTGAGAACAGGAAGGAACACAGCAGACGTTTTCCTTCCATCCACTGAAGCTGCAACCTGCCAGCAGCAGCAGGCCGCACTTTTCAGATGGGTTTGGTGTGAAACGCTGAAAGGCTGCAGATAAAATCCAGAAACTCGTTTCACTGTGAAGAAAAACTTGTGGAGGTTCTGAAAGCAGCGTTGTGTCTTGCAGGCCGCCGGCGCCGCTCGCCCTGCGGAGCGACAGCCCTCCAAACCAAAGAAGAAGAAAGTGGGCCTGTTCCGATGACAGACAGGAAGTGACTCGGTGGCAGCGCTGTGATTGGCTCACAGTTTAAGTTTTCAAAGTTTTATCTTTGTGTCAATAAAGTTTACATCATGGCTCCTGCTCCTCACTGATGCAAGGTGTTCTGGGAAATGAAGGCTCTCTGCTCAGCGCCGCTGAAGTCTAGAAAACATTTCTAGATCAACATCTGGAAACCTGATCTATGTTCCACTTCTGGACTTTACACAAAGAAACATAAAGAATCATCATGGATTAGATTTATGTACCATCATCTTCATCATCTGCCCCGCTGCTGCTCTCTCTCTTCCTGCAGCAGACAGGCGGCTCCGCAGACGGACGCAGCTTCCATCCCTCCCTCACCTGTTGCTGCTTCTGGCTGCGCTGCGGCGCGTTGGAAACCTTTACGCATCGAGAGGCTCTCCGGCCCTCGCTGCTGGTCTCCGCAGGTTTCCACTGGTCCTTACTGGTCTCTCGGTCCCGCTGCTCCCCCTCGGGGCCCGTGACTTCCTGCGCGGCTCCTCCAGCCTGACGGCTCAGCGGGGCGCCGGGCGGAGCGGAGGGAGCCGGCCGGCCTGGCGGAGCAGACGCTGTGCGCCAGCGGCAAGGCGGAGGGGAAGATCAGCCGCGGCTCGGAGCGCTTCAAGCAGCCGAACCCCGACTGCATCACCTTCAAGGACGAGGAGAACAGGACCGCCCCAAGTCCGCAGACATTCGGCAGCTTGCGCATCACAGAGCGCACCCGGTGGTCTGCGCAGGCGCAGCAGCAGGTGGTTCAGGTGGATCACCGCGTCTCCGCCCGCCGCCGCCAGTGGGCCGGACTGTCGTGATGTTTATGACGAGAGACTCATGTCCTGACCGGCGGCGGAAGAGACTTCATGGGCTGTGAAGCGCGACTGGAAACGCATCATCACGCAAACTTCAATTGCTCCAAGATTTGATGGCCCCAATGGGTCCCTTTGCCCCCCGATGGGTCCCTTTGTGTCCTGCTGCTCCTCTGCCTGCGGTTCTATAGATCTGCTGATTATTAGCAATAATGACTAATTAGTGATATTGATCGATGGACAGCTTTCACATGGTGATGCGTCGACCCACTGTCGGCCGATCTGCCCTCTGAAGGGAGGCATTCTGGGAAACGAGGGACTTTCTGAGTGCAGGATGGGTCGGTCCTGCTGGGTCGGTCCTGTGGAAACAAATCAGGTTTATATTGACTGAGAAACTCTCCCAGTTTCAGGAAGTAATCCCTCCAACAGGAAGTAACGCACCAACAGGAAGTAATCCCTGTAACGCCAGCAGGAAGTAATCCCTCCAACAGGAAGTAATGCACCAACAGGAAGTAACGGAAGTAACCCACCAGCAGGAAGTAATCCCTGCTCTTAGTCCCGGTTCCTCTTCATCCTTCTCAACCTGGTTAATAGAATTATTTCAGTTCTGTTGCAGGATTACATAGACTCAGATCCTGACTTTGACTAGGCCACTGTGTGGTCTGTTCTATTGTGTTGAGTCAGTGGCGAGGCGCTGGACATTGATCCATCACTAATATTGATCCTTGATCCTGTTTCTCTCCAGAAACTGAATTAAACTGAACAACTTTACAGCCAGCAGCTAACAGGCTAAGCTAAGCTAGCTCCTGGTTGCGGCATTTACCTCAAACCTTCATCATCATCATCACTGCATGACGACAATCAGAGCCTAAAGTAATAGTCTGTTCAGGAAATGTAAAGTCATCTCGTTTTTCCTCTGATGGTAACAGACATTTCCTCTTCCTCCTTCCTTCCTCTTCCTCCTGTTTTCCCCCAGAGCGGGTGGCGAGGGCCCTGACCTGATCACAAGGGACACTTTCAAGTTGGTATCTTTCATTTTCAAACACAGTGAGGTACATGACCCTACCACCAGAGGGCGACAAAGCACCAATGATGTAGAAACCTGAAGAAGTCTGGCAAAATATGAACAAGGAGGATCAGACAAAACTTCATCTACATAATAATAATAATAAAAAAGAACAATAACTTGCCCCACCTGGCTGCCAAGTTTAGCTTTTCCAATGTGACATTTTTTTCTGGTTTCCAGTTCTGGTTCTGGACTGGACCACACCAGTTGTTCTCTGGATTCAGCTGAGCCAATGTCACCTGAAGGCAGCAGTGAGACGTTCAGGGCCTTATGAGAACAGAAGCACAAACATCTCCAAATCGCACCTGTAGGCTCGGCTGTGCTGGTTGCTGGGAGACCAGAGGAAGTTAGAAGGCTAAACTAAAGTCCATGAAAAATTTCCTCTGTGCCAAGTTCAAAAATCACAGCAGGACGATGCGTTCACTCTGGTTCATGCAGTGATGCGTTCACTGGCCACTGGTTCTGCAGTGATGCGTTCACTCACTGGTTCATGCAGTGATGCGTTCACTGGCCACTGGTTCATGCAGTGATGCGTTCACTGGCCACTGGTTCATGCAGTGATGCGTTCACTGGCCATGGTTCATGCAGTGATGCGTTCACTGGCCTGTGCTCCTGCTGGTGGCAGCATCATGGCTGTTGGGTCAGAAAGGTCGTCCCTCCCTCCAAATGATCGACTTTGGGTCAAGGGACCACGAGCTTTGAGTTGCCATGGAGACCATACGATGGGAGCTCTGGTTCAGAACCGGTTCAGAACCTGTTCGACCTGGATCGTTGATCCACGTTGCTTTAAACAAACTGATTGTGCTGAACTGTTTCACCTGGTTAGCATTAGCTTAGTTAGCATTAGCTTAGTTAGCATTAGCTTAGTTAGCATTAGCTTAGGTCATCTTTTTACATCTTGCTGAACGATTTCATGTTATTTCTTAAGTTCAGACAAAAATGAGAAAATCAGCAACAGATAATCAGTCAATATCACCGATATTTCCTGATTTGGGTCCTAAACATCATTTCCTGTTGTGAGGTTCAGTGTTTCCTGTTCTGGTTGCAAAGTCTCCACTTGGAGGAAATGGTGACATTAATATTAATAGATCAGTTATTGGATCCAGTAGGATGATCAGTTATCGATCTCATATCTGATCAGTTTATCGATCAGAAGAAGTCTCGTCCTCACCGTCCGTCTCTGTCCGTTGACCCGGCAGGGAACCATTGTGGTGGACGGAGTGATGGCGTCCTGCTACGCGGCGGTGGACGGTCACCGCTTGGCCCACCGGGCCTTCGCCCTGCACCGCTGGACAGGAAGCGCTGGGCGCCTCGGCAACGGCCTGGACTGGTACTCACAGATCACACTCTGGCTGGGCCAGGCGGTTCTGGTACCAGCAGCAAACAGGAAATACTATTAACAGACAGGAAGTACCAGCAGCAAACAGGAAATACTATTAACAGACAGGAAGTACCAGCAGCAAACAGGAAATACTATTAACAGACAGGAAGTACCAGCAGCAAACAGGAAATACTATTAACAGACAGGAAGTACCAGCAGCAAACAGGAAATACTATTAACAGACAGGAAGTACCAGCAGCAAACAGGAAATACTATTAACAGACAGGAAGTACCAGCAGCAAACAGGAAATACTATTAACAGACAGGAAGTACCAGCAGCAAACAGGAAATACTATTAACAGACAGGAAGTACCAGCAGCAAACAGGAAATACTATTAACAGACAGGAAGTACCAGCAGCAAACAGGAAATACTATTAACAGACAGGAAGTACCAGCAGCAAACAGGAAATACTATTAACAGACAGGAAGTACCAGCAGCAAACAGAAATACTATTAACAGACAGGAAGTACCAGCAGCAAACAGGAAATACTATTAACAGACAGGAAGTACCAGCAGCAAACAGGAAATACTATTAACAGACAGGAAGTACCAGCAGCAAACAGGAAATACTATTAACAGACAGGAAGTACCAGCAGCAAACAGGAAATACTATTAACAGACAGGAAGTACCAGCAGCAAACAGGAAATACTATTAACAGACAGGAAGTACCAGCAGCAAACAGGAAATACTATTAACAGACAGGAAGTACCAGCAGCAAACAGAAATACTATTAACAGACAGGAAGTACCAGCAGCAAACAGGAAATACTATTAACAGACAGGAAGTACCAGCAGCAAACAGGAAATACTATTAACAGACAGGAAGTACCAGCAGCAAACAGGAAATACTATTAACAGACAGGAAGTACCAGCAGCAAACAGGAAATACTATTAACAGACAGGAAGTACCAGCAGCAAACAGGAAATACTATTAACAGACAGGAAGTACCAGCAGCAAACAGGAAATACTATTAACAGACAGGAAGTACCAGCAGCAAACAGGAAATACTATTAACAGACAGGAAGTACCAGCAGCAAACAGGAAATACTATTAACAGACAGGAAGTACCAGCAGCAAACAGGAAATACTATTAACAGACAGGAAGTACCAGCAGCAAACAGGAAATACTATTAACAGACAGGAAGTACCAGCAGCAAACAGGAAGTACCAGCAGCAAACAGGAAACACTATTAACAGACAGGAAGTACCAGCAGCAAACAGGAAACACTATTAACAGACAGGAAGTACCAGCAGCAAACAGGAAATACTATTAACAGACAGGAAGTACCAGCAGCAAACAGGAAATACTATTAACCAACAGGAAGTACCAGCAGCAAACAGGAAACTATTAACAGACAGGAAGTACCAGCAGCAAACAGGAAATACTATTAACAGACAGGAAGTACCAGCAGCAAACAGGAAACACTATTAACAGACAGGAAGTACCAGCAGCAAACAGGAAATACTATTAACAGACAGGAAGTACCAGCAGCAAACAGGAAATACTATTAACAGACAGGAAGTACCAGCAGCAAACAGGAAATACTATTAACAGACAGGAAGCACCAGCAGCAAACAGGAAACACTATTAACAGACAGGAAGTACCAGCAGCAAACAGGAAACACTATTAACAGACAGGAAGTACCAGCAGCAAACAGGAAATACTATTAACAGACAGGAAGTACCAGCAGCAAACAGGAAATACTATTAACAGACAGGAAGTACCAGCAGCAAACAGGAAATACTATTGACAGACAGGAAGTACCAGCAGCAAACAGGAAACACTATTAACAGACAGGAAGTACCAGCAGCAAACAGGAAATACTATTAACAGACAGGAAGTACCAGCAGCAAACAGGAAATACTATTAACAGACAGGAAGTACCATCAGCAAACAGGAAACACTATTAACAGGAAGCACCAGCAGCAAACAGGAAATAGTATTAACCAACAGGAAGTGCTAGCAGCAAACAGAAGTACCAGCAGCAAACAGGAAACACTATTAACAGACAGGAAGTACCAGCAGCAAACAGGAAATACTATTAACAGACAGGAAGTACCAGCAGCAAACAGGAAATACTATTAACAGACAGGAAGTACCAGCAGCAAACAGGAAATACTATTAACAGACAGGAAGTTCCAGCAGCAAACAGGAAATACTATTAACAGGCAGGAAGTACCAGCAGCAAACAGGAAATACTATTAACAGACAGGAAGTACCAGCAGGAAACAGGAAATACTATTAACAGACAGGAAGTACCAGCAGCAAACAGGAAACACTATTAACAGACAGGAAGTACCAGCAGCAAACAGGAAATACTATTAACAGACAGGAAGTACCAGCAGCAAACAGGAAATACTATTAACAGACAGGAAGTACCAGCAGCAAACAGGAAATACTATTAACAGACAGGAAGCACCAGCAGCAAACAGGAAACACTATTAACACAGGAGTACCAGCAGCAAACAGGAAACACTATTAACAGACAGGAAGTACCAGCAGCAAACAGGAAATACTATTAACAGACAGGAAGTACCAGCAGCAAACAGGAAATACTATTAACAGACAGGAAGTACCAGCAGCAAACAGGAAATACTATTGACAGACAGGAAGTACCAGCAGCAAACAGGAAACACTATTAACAGACAGGAAGTACCAGCAGCAAACAGGAAATACTATTAACAGACAGGAAGTACCAGCAGCAAACAGGAAATACTATTAACAGACAGGAAGTACTATCAGCAAACAGGAAACACTATTAACAGGAAGCACCAGCAGCAAACAGGAAATAGTATTAACCAACAGGAAGTGCTAGCAGCAAACAGGAAGTACCAGCAGCAAACAGGAAACACTATTAACAGACAGGAAGTACCAGCAGCAAACAGGAAATACTATTAACAGACAGGAAGTACCAGCAGCAAACAGAAATACTATTAACAGACAGGAAGTACCAGCAGCAAACAGGAAATACTATTAACAGACAGGAAGTACCAGCAGCAAACAGGAAATACTATTAACAGACAGGAAGTTCCAGCAGCAAACAGGAAATACTATTAACAGACAGGAAGTACCAGCAGCAAACAGGAAATACTATTAACAGACAGGAAGTACCAGCAGCAAACAGGAAACACTATTAACAGACAAGAAGTACCAGCAGCAAACAGGAAATACTATTAACAGACAGGAAGTACCAGCAGCAAACAGGAAACACTATTAACAGACAGGAAGTACCAGCAGCAAACAGGAAATACTATTAACAGACAGGAAGCACCAGCAGCAAACAGGAAACACTATTAACAGACAGGAAGTACCAGCAGCAAACAGGAAACACTATTAACAGACAGGAAGTACCAGCAGCAAACAGGAAATACTATTAACAGACAGGAAGTACCAGCAGCAAACAGGAAATACTATTAACAGACAGGAAGTACCAGCAGCAAACAGGAAATACTATTGACAGACAGGAAGTACCAGCAGCAAACAGGAAACACTATTAACAGACAGGAAGTACCAGCAGCAAACAGGAAATACTATTAACAGACAGGAAGTACCAGCAGCAAACAGGAAATACTATTAACAGACAGGAAGTACCATCAGCAAACAGGAAACACTATTAACAGGAAGCACCAGCAGCAAACAGGAAATAGTATTAACCAACAGGAAGTGCTAGCAGCAAACAGGAAGTACCAGCAGCAAACAGGAAACACTATTAACAGACAGGAAGTACCAGCAGCAAACAGGAAATACTATTAACAGACAGGAAGTACCAGCAGCAAACAGGAAATACTATTAACAGACAGGAAGTACCAGCAGCAAACAGGAAATACTATTAACAGACAGGAAGTTCCAGCAGCAAACAGGAAATACTATTAACAGGCAGGAAGTACCAGCAGCAAACAGGAAATACTATTAACAGACAGGAAGTACCAGCAGCAAACAGGAAATACTATTAACAGACAGGAAGTACCAGCAGCAAACAGGAAATACTATTAACAGACAGGAAGTACCAGCAGCAAACAGGAAATACTATTAACAGACAGGAAGCACCAGCAGCAAACAGGAAACACTATTAACAGACAGGAAGTACCAGCAGCAAACAGGAAACACTATTAACAGACAGGAAGTACCAGCAGCAAACAGGAAATACTATTAACAGACAGGAAGTACCAGCAGCAAACAGGAAATACTATTAACAGACAGGAAGTACCAGCAGCAAACAGGAAATACTATTGACAGACAGGAAGTACCAGCAGCAAACAGGAAACACTATTAACAGACAGGAAGTACCAGCAGCAAACAGGAAATACTATTAACAGACAGGAAGTACCAGCAGCAAACAGGAAATACTATTAACAGACAGGAAGTACCATCAGCAAACAGGAAACACTATTAACAGGAAGCACCAGCAGCAAACAGGAAATAGTATTAACCAACAGGAAGTGCTAGCAGCAAACAGGAAGTACCAGCAGCAAACAGGAAACACTATTAACAGACAGGAAGTACCAGCAGCAAACAGGAAATACTATTAACAGACAGGAAGTACCAGCAGCAAACAGAAAATACTATTAACAGACAGGAAGTACCAGCAGCAAACAGGAAATACTATTAACAGACAGGAAGTACCAGCAGCAAACAGGAAATACTATTAACAGACAGGAAGTTCCAGCAGCAAACAGGAAATACTATTAACAGACAGGAAGTTCCAGCAGCAAACAGGAAATACTATTAACAGACAGGAAGTACCAGCAGCAAACAGGAAATACTATTAACAGACAGGAAGTACCAGCAGCAAACAGGAAACACTATTAACAGACAAGAAGTACCAGCAGCAAACAGGAAATACTATTAACAGACAGGAAGTACCAGCAGCAAACAGGAAACACTATTAACAGACAGGAAGTACCAGCAGCAAACAGGAAATACTATTAACAGACAGGAAGCACCAGCAGCAAACAGGAAACACTATTAACAGACAGGAAGTACCAGCAGCAAACAGGAAACACTATTAACAGAC